ACTTAGATAAATAAGTAAGTAAGATTAGTGTTCACTCAAAAGTTAGAAGAAAATTGTTAGTATGTTTTTTTTTTAAATTGTTGTTTAAGGTTGTCATACACAAATAAAAAATATAATAATTTTGTTCTATTTTTCATAAAATAATTTTAATATTTTTTATTATATCATCTTTTATTTTCGTTCTATAATAAATACATATAAGATCTTATTTTAACATGTATCGAAAAATAATTAATATTATTTTAAATTTTAAAAATGATAAATAATTATAAAATTTACTAAAATAAAATCAACAATTACAAAAGTAAGTAGGGAGTATAAGATAGTCAAGAATATTTGATTGTCACATTTTTTGTAGAAGTTAATTGGTCATATAATTGGCGGAAAACATGGAATAATTCTGAGTAAAATGCAATTGATGGTTTCATTTAATGTTTGCGTTTCTTTATTAATAGGTTATTTATAAGTTTGAGTGTAAAGTTTGACCAAAGCACGTGGCATTTTATTCCTAGATTTAAAATGAAGTAACCTCTTATTTAAAAAAAATTATATAAAAATAGTGTAAAATGAAATAAAAGGCAAGAGAAAAGAGAAGAAAAACTTAGTAGTATCAAAAGAAAAAATACATGTCATGTCAGTCATTTCTCCAAATGCACGGGGTCTTGGTGCGTTGACTGTGTTCTCATGTTCTGAATACTGAATAGAAAGTAGAAACATGAAAAGGGAATAGTCTTCTTTATGCAGCACGGAATCCCCCTAAAGACAAAATTGAAAACATAAAATAAAGAAAAGAGGGCAATTTCCCAGACTATGGATTCCAGAAAGCTCTATTGATTTGTTATAACCATATCCTATTCCTATGTCTCCTCTCTCTCCCTATTGGCTTTGTGACTTCTACTTCTACCTTTCCTTTTTGTTTTATTCAACTCGGCCATGGGGCCAGATCCTTGGATTTCAGATTGGAGACGGAATAGAAGAACCCAAAAGAATGTCAATCAGAACGTTAAATCATAGGAAAATGAGGAAAAAAAATATTATCTGGGTTCACATTTCCAAACCAATGCAAAATGCATGAGTGGGAGTATTATTTTCTTCTGACATCCATTAATTAATTGGTAGTGGTAGTAGTATCTTAATTAGAGGACATTAATTGGGCATTGGGGTTGATGCAGGGTAAGGCTCCATATAGAAAGTCAACTAGCGTGGTTCACAGGTTAGACCAGGGTGAAAGTTACATAGGAAATTTTAAAATGTTATAAGAAAATATTAAGGTTTAAATGTTTAATTACCTTTACTTAATTTAGGTTGATAATTGTCTCTAATGGGTCTCTCACTCTAAGTTGGTTTCAGTTTGCCAAATATAATTTTAAATTAAACTGAATTCCGCTAATTTTTTACTAATTATTAAATAAATATTAATACTTTATTTAAAATTTTATTGTTGGTCTTTGTAATTATGAGCTATTATTCTTTATCTATCATTTTTAATAAAAAAATTTCATAAATTTTACTTTTTAATTTTTATAGTTAAAGTTATTTCAATTTAATTTTTATACATATTACTTTTGTCCCTTTACTGTTAGTTTTTATAGAAGCTAAAAGATCAAGTTTATAAATTTGTTAATTCTAAAAAATAAACAAAAATAATATGTAGAAGACTAAAATGTACTATTTTTAGTTATAAAAATTAAAAAGCACAGTTAATAAAACTATATGATAAAAAAATAATTATATCAAATATTAATTATGATTTTTATAATATATTTTTTTAATTATTTGTATGAAATATCTATAAACTTTATCAATAACTAATTTTTGTTGAAGAATTTGACTTATCATCTTCAATAAGATTTCCTCTTTTAATTATGTTTTTTTTTATACACAAAACTCAAATCTATCAAAATATGTATTTATCCATAATAATTACTCTCGTTTGATTATAAATTTTTATGAATATTAAATTTATTAACAGTTATAATAATATTTTTGAATAATTGATAAAGTACAAAATTTTACACTATTAAATTATTTCTTCTTATCCTTTTTCATAAAACTCAAATTAAAAATATTATTTTTTTATAAGAACTAATATTAAATATCTAGTACATTAATTATTTTTGACGACATATATTTTTAATTAAAATTGTTTCTCTTAATTCAATAAGTATTTAGTAAAATGAGTCATAATAATGTGAAAAGTAAATTAAGAAAAATATATAAATTTAAGAAAAATTTAATATTATCAACTAAATTAACTCTTAATAGATTAAGTAATTGTTTTTATATAAAAAAAAACTAGAAGAAGTATATTTTAGCTATTTAAAAATAATATATTTCTATAAAAAAAATTACTACTTGTATAATTAATAATTTTTGCAATAAATGAACTAACATTTTATGTGTTATTAAATATTACTTTTAATCTTATATATCAAAAATAAATGAGAATATCATTTTTTATCTTGTTATAAAAATATATATTTATTTTAAATATATTAATTGTTAATTTTTTGAAGTGTTGTTGACCAATGTTCTTAGACATTGGTCAAGGAATTAATATAT